ACTCCGGTGCTGCTGGGGATGGTGACACTGGAGGTGCAGACTCTAGGGGTGCTGGTCCTGGGGGTGCTGAGTCTGGAGGTGCTGGTTCTGGGGGTGCTGAGCGTACTAGTGGTGGTGGAGTCGTGGGTGCTCCTGCTGGAGACTCTCGGGGTGGACGTCAGCGGCAGCCGAGTCGGCAGGAGACTCTCTCGCCACAGCAGCTTCGCGAGTGGGCTATCCGGTGGGGCAGCTCCGGTGGCGCAGCTGTATTTGGAGGTGCTGGACGTGCTGGTGCTGGAGGTACTAGAGTTGGAGGTGCTGGAGGTACTGGTGCTGGAGGTGCTGGTACTGGAGGTACTGGTGCACGTCGGCAGGAGTCTCTCTCACCGCAGCAGCTTCGCGAGTGGGCTGTCCGGTGGGGCAGCTTTGGTGGCGGAGCTGGAGGTGCTGGAGGCACTGGTGCTGGAGGTGCTGGAGCTGGAGGTGCTGGAGGTGCTGGTGCTGGAGGTGCTTGAGGTACTGGAGGTGCTGGTGCTGGAGGTGCTGGTGCTGGAGCTACTGGAGCTGGAGGTGCTGGAGGTGCTGGTGCTGGAGCTACTGGAGCTGAAGGTTCTGGTACTGTGGGTGCTGCGCAGCGGCGACCGTTCTTCTTGCCGCTGCTGAAGTCTTCGCGGCTACAACCTGGCTCGGTACTTCACCAGTTTCTTAGTCTTCCGTCTTCCACTAACCTTACTCTCCCCCTACTGTGTCCTCCGCCTGACCAGTTCCAGTCGCAGTTACAGCGTGACACCCCACTGCCTGCTCCTTCTCCTTACACTGAGCAGACTGACTCCCTAACAGAGCGTCGTGAGCCTGCATCTCGTACTGCCTCGCATGTTCGCACTGTTTGTTGTGCTCATCGTGATCGTCCTCCACCAGTCCCCGGCACACGTACTATGGCACTCCGTCCTTCCTCTGTTCTACAGCGTGTTGCCCTGCCGTCTCCTTCGGCGTCCTCTCTTCCTGGCGTTCCTGACCCTGAGTCTGACCTTGCTCGTGCTGCTAGTCCTTCTGTCACGCGTGTGGCCACACTTCTCACTGTCCCTTCCTTTGAGTCTACTGCTACATCTAGTTTAGTCACTGAGCTCATTGACTTTGCTGCTACCTATTATCTTGACTAATTCAAGGGTCTTGTTACTGAGTCTGAGTCTGCCTGTCCTCTGTCCATGGGGGGTGAGCTTGCCCTTGGCAGTGACATCCTTGAGGACAGGAAGTTTGAGCTCGAGTGCCTCGTGGCTACTGTACCTCATCTCGCTTCCATGCTGCTTTGCCCCGAGGGAGACCCGAATGCACTAGACATCCCGACCCCGCGCTCTTACGCAGAGGCGATCATGGGTCAGTACTCCTCTCAGTGGCAGATAGCCATGGATGCAGATATGACTTCCTGGAAGTACACAGGCACCTACGTTGCCGCAGTTCTCCCTCCTAGGGCGAACATAGTCGATGGCATGTGGATTTTCAGGGTGAAGTGGCAGCCCGGTTCACCGCCTGCCTTCTAGGCGCGTTACGTTGCACGAGGCTTCAGTCAGCGATAGGGGGTCGACTTCTTCCAGACCTTCTCCCCCACCCCGAAGATGACCACTCTTCAGGTATTACTGCACGTTGCAGCATATCGTGACTACGAGCTCCACTCGCTTGACTTCAGCATAGCTTCCTTGCAGGGTAGCCTTCACGAGGAGATCTGGCTGCGCCGTCCACCTGGCTTCACTGGGTCGTTTCCTGAGGGTACCAAGTGGAGCCTCCAGCGGCCAGTCTACGGTCTCCGCCAGGCGCCCCGCGAGTGGCACGACATACTGGGGACTACACTTGTGGCTCTTGGTTTGGTCCTTCGACTGCTGGCACGTCGCTGTTTCTGCGCACCGACACTTCTCTGCCGCCGTTCTACATCCTCGTGCACGTCGACAACTTGGTATTTGCTACTTCTGACACCAAGGCACTAGCCCTTGTGAAGGTGGAGCTACAGAAGAGACACACCTGCACTGACCTGGGTGAGCTGCGGAGCTATCTTGGCTTGCAGATCTCACGGGACAGAGCACGGCGCACCATCACTCTAACTCAATCACACATGGTGGACCAGGTCCTTCAGCGCTTCAGCTTTCAGTTCTCCTCGCCATAGTCCACTCCTCTTGCCACGAACCACTCGCTCTCAGCTCCACCTTCGGACGAGTCCGTAGAGCCGAGTGGTCATATCCAGAGCTTGTGGGCTGCCTCATGTACCTGATGATGTGCTATTGACCTGACCTCGCGTACCCTACGTTGCGCCGGGAGACACCGTCCTGAGCACTGGCGGGCGGCACAGAGGGTAGTGTGCTACTTGTGTAGTACATCAGGCATGGGGCTTGTGCTTGGAGGACGGGGTAGAGTTGTGTTCACTGGGCACTCTGACGCTTCTTGGGCTGACGACCAGGCGACTCAGTGGTCGTCACAGGGTTACTCCCGCGGAGATAAACTCTACAATGGGAGCTAGACTACGGGGAAGGCGTGGTTGTGTGAGTGGTCGCAGTGTTCCTTAGAGTTTGCTTGTGTTCTCTCTACGCACACATTCACGGGGAGAATTGGCAAGAGTTTCACTAGCAAAAGTTCACAACAATGGTAGCAACAACATTGGCCAAGTTGACTACATCAGAGGCAAGTCTGCCTAGCATGCAAACGGGTCGACCTCCAGCGCAGCATGGTCGACCGCCTTCCAGCACAGCAAAGTCCGTACTACTCCAGCGCTGTAGAAAGGCGGCTTGCCAGTGTTGCAGGTCGACGGCGTGCCAACGCTGCAGCAAGGCGGCTGCACAGCGTTGCACCCGCATGACAGCAGCGCACCTACTTCGCAGGTGCTCGCAGTTGGTTGGCGTGCAGTGCACCGTCACGTGCACAGCGCAGACGCCAAGTTGACCACGTGCCGTTGACCGCGTCTGATCAGCCACGTCGACCTCAGGATAGCACCTCCGAGGTCGGCTTTACTAGAACCACCTCGGCGACGGTCGCGCACCTCCGTAGAACCTCGTCGCCCTGGTAACTTGGTCGACTCGGAGACCCCTAGGTCGGTGTCGACTTGCTCGGTAGAAGTCAACCAACAGTTGTATGTGCTCATCGACCACCCAAGTCGACGACCACCAGCTGACTTCACTAAGTCGGACACTCCGCAGGTCGACCACTTCTGGTCGACCAGACCTGCTGTTCGCCGACTGCACCAAGTCGGCTTCCCAGGTCGGCGCCACCAAGTCGGTGCCCTCCCAGGTTGATCTCGCCAGGTCAACCTCCCAAAGTCGGCGCCCTCCTAGGTCGGCCTCGCCAAGTCGACCTCGCAAAGTCAGCGCCCTCCTAGGTCAACGAGCCCCATCGTCGACCACCAGTTGAAGACGGCCGCCGACACCCCGTCGTCGGCGGCTTCGCAGTGGCCCCGTGTAGGTTGACCAACTCTGTCGACCTGCGCGCCCAAGTCAGCGTCGCCCACTGCAGTAGGTCGGCTGCACCCCCTGCACACCCAACCACGAAGTCGGCTCTGCCCAAGCGAGGACGGGGCCAACACACAACTCTTGTTGACAACTCCTTCAGTCTTGGCACTGGTTCTGTCTTGTGGAGGTCCACTCGCTCGTCTTCTGTACTTGATTCCAGCTGCGAGGCAGAGATCTACGCTGGGGCTATGGGTGCAAAGGAGTTACGCTGGCTTACCTACTAGCTGACTAACTTGGGTGAGCGGCCTCGTTCTCCTCCAGTTCTGTACGTCGACAACAAGAGCATGATTGCCTTGTGTAAGGAGCAGAGACTGGAGCACAGAATGAAGCACATTGCTCTCTGTTACTTTCTCGCTCAAGATTTGAAGCATCGTGGTCAGCTGCGCCTTACTTACGTGGCCTCACGGGCCAACACTGCTGATATCTTCACTAAGGCCCTCGGGTCTGGTGATCATCAGCGTTTCCGCATTGCTCTTGGGCTTGTGCCCACTCTTCCTCACTTGCTTATCTCTTGATCTAGCTATGCCCTTGTTGTACACTAATATATATCTGTATACCTTCATATTTTCTCTTGCTAGGTTGTGATCAGTATATTGTCATTACTCTACATATCAACTACCCTTGTGGCCGCTTGCTTGTGCTCGGACTGCGTGGTGATCTTGAGATCCACTCTAAGCTTTGTTTTGTTGCTTCTCTTAACTGGTCTTGTGACCATTGCTTGCTCTGGCTATCCTCCACTTCGCCTATTGGGGTGTGTCAAGACATATATGTCTGTTGTCTAGGATGTAGTGGCCCATCGAGGGTACAACCCATTAGGGTTAGTACTTGTACTCCCCATTGCTGTTAGTCAATCATTCCGTTGTTCTCATTCTGACATGGTATCATGCGCTAGGTTAGGTCCGACTACTGAACTTATTATCGTACCTACGATTAGGTTAGGTGTGCCCCGCTGCCCCACGCCTCGAGTGCCACTGCCCCACTGCCCCGCACGTTGCGCGCCACTGTTCTCGTTCTGACAATTCTGGTCAGATTGCTCCATGAGCATGCAGGTAGTGAGAACACAAGCAAATCTATGATCACTCACACCACCAGTGCCTTCACACGTAGTTCAGCTCCCACCATTGTAGAGTGACTCTCCGCACCCTGTAGCGTCGTCTAGCACCCGGTAGCGCTCAGTAGCGATACCAAACACTGCCGAGTGAAATATATTGGTCTTTAGGTCATAGTCCGTCCCTCCCCCTCCCCCCCCCCCCCCCCCTTCTTAATTGCTTGCATATTATACCCATGTAGAAGAAGGGGGTTGAGTGTAACTTGTTGCTTCGCGAATCGCGATCCGTGCACTCTTAACGAATGAACCCAAACTCCCAAACCCCGAGAGTTTTGGGGTAATAGTGGGAATATGTACGTTCCCTAACCTAACGCGAAGGAAGCGCGCCAACGCGATACGCGCGAAGTGCGCGCTGTTAAGGCAGCCATTACAGCGTATGGCGAGCGCGTTGTAAGCCTTCCTTGATACAGCGCATAGCGACCGTAATGGCTCTAGTAACGCGGAAAAGCCCTAAGACGATGGGCTTGCGAGGAGCAGCGGTGGACCGCACGTCGCTCCGAGAGGTCGAGACGCGATTAACCCTGGATATTCACCCGTCGCGGTCCGGGAATGTAGTAGCAGGAGTCAAGGAGCAGCTCAACAACTCACTCATGCGGTAAATCCACTAACACTCATGGTGGCGATCCTGGAATGTACCGGTGGTAGTCATAGTCGAGTTAGCAGCTCAATAACTCACTCATGCGGTAATGCTGCAGTCGCTCGTGACGTGAGTCGCTGAATATCACGCTGGTCTCTTGAAGCTCCTCGCTTCGTGTGTCCCGCCATTCTTCTTGTTTGGCTTCGCGTGCACTCGCGCTGGTTCACATCGCATCTGCTGCGAGCCTTTTGGGAAATCTCCGAGTAGTCTGATTCCTTCATAATCGCCCGCGTTCGCTTGCGTCGCGTCGCATCTGCTGCGCGTGACCCTCGTCCGCTCCGTAACAGCTACGTGCTGAGCAGCAGGGGGGAGAGAAGGAGAGGGGGAGAGGGGGGTGGTGCTGGCCTACTCCAAGGTGCTGCATGGAGCGTCGAGCAGCACGGCGGCATTCTGCGTACCTCTGACCGGAATTAACCGCTCCCAACCCTACTCACTTGCTTGCTATGATCCCCCTCGCGCCCTTCTCTCCCCGTCAGGTACTGCCAGCAGCACGGTGGCATCGTGCTGGCCTGGCCTACCCCAACGTGCTGCGGCGTGAGTCACCATTCTGCGTACCCTTCCCTACGTCTGACTGACGGGAACCAACTCCCCACTCGCTTGCTGTGCCTCCCCTTCCCTCCCCGTCAGGTACAATGAGCAGCACGGTGGCATCGTGCTGGCCTGGCCTACCCCAACGTGCTGTGTGGAGCCTCGAGTCAGAATCTGGATTATTTTGAGTCGACTCAAGAGCAGACTCTACGTCCGACGGGAGCCAACTCCCCACTCGCATGCTATGATCCCCCCTGCGGCCTGCCCTTCCCCTCCCTCCCTGACAGGCCTCCCTGCTCACATGTTCTCTTCCCCGCTCCCCTTTTCCCCCGTCAGGTACAGCGAGCAGCACAGCGGCATCGTGCTGGCCTACTCCAACGTGTGCTGCGTGCGTGGAGCCCCAAGTAAGCATTTTGCGTTCTTCTGACACGAACCAATTCCTCTCTATTCTACCCACCTGCTATGATCCCCCCTGCACCATCCCCTTCCCCTTCCCCCCCGTCAGGTACACCGAGCAGCACGGCGGCATCGTGCTGGCCTACTCCAACGTGCTGCTGTTCGGCCGCACAGCAGCCATTCTAACCGGACTCAACCCCTACCTGCACGTCAGCCTCTCCGCGCGCCTGCTGCTCTTCGCGCCGCGACCAGGAGCCTTTCTTGGTGAGGCAGAGGGCCCAGGGGCGTCTTGAGTCGGGAGTGGGGAGTGAGGAGGGAGGAGTGAGGAGGGAGGAGGGAGGAGTGAGGAGTGAGGAGGGAGGAGTGAGGAGGGAGGAGTTAGGAGAGAGGAGTTAGGAGGGAGGAGGGAGGAGTGAGGAATGAGGAGTGAGGAGTGAAGAGTGGGGAGTGAAGAGTGGGGAGTGGGGGGTGGGGAGTTGGGAGTGAGTAGTGAGGAGTAAGCATTGAGGAGTGAGGGGATGGTGAACTTTCTCCGGAACAATGTGGGGGCGGATCTTAGAGGTGTATTTTGAGGCGCCTCAAAAGAACTTTCTCCAGAACAATGTGGGGGCGGATCTTATCGCTCTGCTTGTGCTGCCCACCCTGCTCACTACTGTTTCTTCCGTGCCGCTTCCCCCTACTCACCCCTACCTACCACTCCCTATCCTTCGCCTCGCACTCTCAGAGGGCGTGGTGAACAAGGTGGGGGCGGATTTCATCGGTCTGCTCGTGCTGCTCTGCTCACTCCCCTCCTCCACCCTCCCTGCCCTGCCCTCCCCTCCATGCAGAGGGAGTGGTGAACAACGTGGGGGCGGATTTCATCGGTCTTCTCGTGCTGGGCGTATTCAACGCCGCTGTGCCCGACCAGTTTATGCGCTCCTGGAAACATGTGGAGGAGGTGGGTGCAGTGCACGCTTGTCTTGGTGTGTGCATGAGTTCATCTGCATGTTCATCTGCATGTCTGTCTGTCGTCAATGCCTCTGTCTCCGATCAGTTCATGCGCTCCTGGTACCACGTGGAGGTGCGTGGGGGCACTGCATTATTGCTGGTGTATACACATGCATGTTTGTCTTGTCTGTATGCCTGTATGTTTAACGCCTCCGTCGCCGATGAGTTCATTCATTCATGCGCTCCTGGTACCACATGGAGGTGCGTGGGTGCAGTGCACACGGGCACACTTGCATACATACATTCATATGAATATGGTATGTACACATTTCTGTCTTCAAAGCCGCTGTACCCGACCAGTGCATGCGCTCCTGGCAGCAGCGTGTGGAGGTGAGTTGATGCGCTGCAGTGCAGTATTAGGTGTCTGCTCTGCTCATGTTGTCCCTCTTCAATGCCGCTGTACCCGACCAGTTTATGCGCGCATGGCAGCACGTGGAGGTTGGTGGGTCGGGGGCAGTGCACCCTTGCCCATGCAGTGCACCCTTGCCCATGCAGTGCAGTGCAGTGCAGTGCAGTGCAGTGCAGTGCAGTGCAGTGCAGTGCAGTCATGTGTACCCTTGCTGATGCAGTGCACCATCTGCTCGTTTTTTGCACCCTTGATGGGCGTATTCAATGCCGCTGTCCCTGGCCAGTTTCATGTGCTGCTAGCGCCATGTGCAGGTGAGTGGGTGGGTGGGTGGGTGCACGCACGCGCGTGCACCTTTGATGTGTGCATGTGCGTAAGCATGTGCTGCCGTGAGCGACTTTTGAGGCGCCTCAAAAGGCGTGCACCTTTAATGTGTGCATGTGCGTAAGCATGTGCTGCCATGAGCGCATAAACTGGTCGGGTACAGCGATGCCATGTGCAGGCAGGTGTGTGTGTGAGTGCAGTGCACCGTTTTCCCCTTCCTCCACCGATCTTGTCTTATTCCCCAGCTTTTTTCACTTCCTGTCCTCCCATTTCGTGCTCTCTCTCATCTCATCTCATCACATCCCTCCAAGGCCGCCGCCGCCGACGACTTTTGAGGCGCATCAACTCGTCCTATTTCCCACCCTTTTTTTGCACCTCCTCTCCTCCCATTTCGCGCTCTCTCGTCTCATCTCATCTCATCCCTCCAAGGCCGCTGCCGCCGCCGACGACGGCGACGGCCAGCAGCAGCACTGGCAGCACAAAGAGGACCCCTCCCACCGCATTTTCGTTGGCTCTCGCATTCGAGTGCAAGTGGACAGGTGAGTTTTCTTTTCTGTGCACTCACGAGCAGCTTCGCTTCGCTTCGCCTTCTTGAGATGAAACGCCTCAACCCAACATCGAGTGCAGTGCAAATGGTCATGCCATCTGAGAGGGAACTTTTGAGTCGACTCAAAATTCAACTTGAGAGGGAACGCCTCAACCCAACATCGAGTGCAGTGCAAATGGTCATGTCATCTGAGAGGGCTGGGTGCAATGCGGCATGGGGGAGGGGACTAGTTGGTTCTTGAGAATTAATTCAATAGAGACCCGCCACCATGTTTCCGATGGCTCACGGATGCAAGTGCCAGTGGCAGCACAGCGCTCACTCAACCAACCCTCTCTCATTCTCCCTCTCTGCTGCCCCCGTTCTCATCCCCAGTGCCACAGGGGACGGCACGCTGATGTCCATCAGAGGGTCGCTGGACCATCCAGATACGGGGTGTGTGGAGTGAGTGGGTGACAGCACAGGGCTCATTTAATCGACCCGCTTTCATCCTCCCTCTGTGCCGCCCTTGTTCTCATCCCCAGTGGCACAGGGGACGGCACGTTGATGTCCATCAGAGGGTCGCTGGGCCACCCAGATACGGGGTGTGTGGAGTGGCTGGCATGGCAGCACAGGGCTCACTCAATCGACCCTCTCTCATTCTCACCCCTCATGCCCCCGTTCCCATTCCCATTCCCATTCCCATTCCCATTCCCATTCTTATTCTCATTCTCATCCCCAGTGCCACAGGGGACGGCATGTTGATGTCAATCAGAGGGTCGCTGGACCACCCAGATACGGGGTGCGTGGAGTGGCTGGCAGAAAACTGCAAGGAGCCGAGGAGAAGCAGACACCACCACACGGGCAGACACACGCATGGGCATGGGCATGGGCATGGGCATGGGCATGGGCATGGGCATGGGCATGGGCGCGGGCACGGGCATGAGCGTGAGCATGAGCATGAGCACAATAAGCAGCAGGAGCAGCAGCAGCAGCAGCAGCAACTGCAGTTGGCAGTTGTGGAACCGCAGAGGTACGTGCTTCCTTCAATGCTTTGTGTGCAAGGCGCCTTAAAACTCATGGTCTTGATATGCAGTTGCAGCAGCAGAATTTTGAGGCGCCTCAAAATTAAACTCATGGTCATGATATGCAGTTGCAGCAGCAACGTTTGAGACGACTCAAAACACACTTCAATGCTTTGTGTGTGTGCAAGGCTCCTTAAAACTCATGGTCACGATATGCCGTTGCAGCAGCTGCAGGGAGAGCAGGAGCTGCAGTTGTGGAACAGCAGAGGTGCATGCTTCCTTAAATGCTTCGTCCTTCTTTGCCATGTTCTGTGCCGTGTGACGTGTGCCATGTGCCATGTGCCATGTGCCATTGTGATGTGCCATGTGCCATATGTGATGTGCCATGTGCCATGTGTGATGTGCCATGTGCCATGTGCCAATGTGTGATGTGCCATGTGCCATGTGTCATGTGCCATGTGCCATGTGTCATGCGCCGTGCGCCTTCCTCCCCTCATCCTCTCTCTTTTTTCCACTTCTTTAGCCTCCTTTGCTGTCTCTGCTGTACTGGTTAGCATGTTCCCTGCATGGACTGTGCCCATGAGCCATGCACCATGCTCCATGCATCATGCACCATGCTCCATGCATCATGCACCATGCTCCATGCATCATGCACCATGCCTTACGCACCATACACCATGCCCATGCACCATACACCATGCCCTATGCACCATTCACCATGCCTTATGCTCCATGCTCCATGCACCATGCTCCATACACCATACACCATGCACCATGCACCATACACCATGCACCATACACCATGCACACCATGTGTCATGCATAATGCACCATGCATTGACCACATATTTCTTGCTCCTCGTGTTTTGTCTCCATTTGTTAGTCCATTTCACCTTCTCATCCCTTGCCCATTTGCCTTTCCTCTTTCCCCCCCTCCCACTTCTTTCCTCCCCCCCTCCCGTTCCCCGCCTTCCGACACCCATTCCAACCTCTATCCCCTTCTTCCCAGCAGCACTCTCCCCGCCACCACACCAAAGAAGCAGCGTAAAGCCAACCAAGCAGCAGCAGCAGCAGCAGCAGCAGCAACAGCAGCAGCAGCAGAAGCAGAAGCAGCAACAGCAGCAGGAGCAGGAGCAATAGTACTAGCAGATCCCAAGACACCAGTCCCCGCTGGCACCACTGCCGCTGCAACCCCTGAGGCTTCCCCAGCTCCTTCGACTGCTGCTGCAGCACCCATCGGGGATGCAGGCAGGAAGAAGAAGAAACATAAAGCAGACCAAGCAGGAGCAGCAGGAGCAATGGTACTAGCAGAGCCCAGGACACCACTTGCGCCTGGCACCACTGTTTCAGCAGCACCCGACGCATCCCCAGCACCCAGCAGCGCTGGGGATACAGGAGGGAAGAAGAAGAAGCGGAAGGTGAAGGAGGGGGATGTGTCTGCTGCCCACACAGCCACAGCCACTCCCCCCAGCGCTGTGAAGGTGGCCGGTGGGAAGAAGGCAAAGAATGCTGCTGCAGGCAGTAGCTAACTCGCCCATGCCAGCACCCAGCAGCGGCAGGGATGCAGGAGGGAAGAAGAAGAAGCGCAAGGTGAAGGAGGGGGATGTGTCTGCTGCCCACACAGCCACTCCTTCCAGCGCTGTGAAGGTGGCCAGTGGGAAGAAGGCAAAGAATGCTGCTGCAGGCAGTAGCAGGCGGAGCGCTAAATCGGGAATGGTGGAAGGTGGTGGATAGTGGTGCTGTGTTTGTCTGCGGCTTGCATTGGTTCAGGTGATGTGTCAGGTGCCCATACAGTGCATGCCTGCCTGTGCTTGTGTGTGTGCTGCAACAGTGTGTGTGTAGGGGGGTGGATGGAAGAGATACTTGGTGGTTCAGAGCGTTTCATTTGTATTGTACGGGCATGTCAATATGGCTGCCTGCCTGTCTGAAATGGAAGGCGTTGTGTATATGGATGCTGCTGTGCTGCAACCGAGTGTGTTTCTGTGCCAATCAATGCTGACAAAGGTACCTACCACCGTAAATGACTGGAATAAGTTGTGGTTGACATTCTTGCAAGTGTGTGATGGTTATGATGCAAGGTACTCTCCCCACTTGCCTTACTGTATCAACCACTCATTGACATTCTGAAGTGGATTGACTAGGCTTCTAGATCACCAGTATACCATGTTTCCAAGTTACTGTAGCTGCACTTGGTGACAAGGACTCTCTTCTCTTTCTCCTTGCTTGCAAGTGCTCCACTCGAGCCTGCCCTACCCAACAAAAGTAGTTGCCTGGTTGATCCCTATAGCTGGGGCTGAAGTACCCTAGTTGTTGATGGCAGCACGTACCCCATCCTGCCCTTTTTCCTTCCCTGTACACTCTGCTTACTGCAACTCAAGTCAAAGGTCGCTCACTAGCTAGATTTAAAATACCCACTAGTTGCTAATGGTGGCAAGAGTTGAGTCGCTTTTTTAGGAGGGTTCCAACTACGCTCTAGCTGGAGCTTAGAAGGTTGCATATGGTGGCAATGGCAAGCACTCCCTCTTCCTCTTCCTCCTTGCTTGCTTGCTTTACTTATGACGACTGCTAATCTATCCACAGGTCAACTCTCTAGCTGGAGCTGAAGTAGTTGCTGATAGTGGCGAGCACGCCCTGCTCCTCTTCCTCCTCCTTTGCCGCGTCCTCTGCTTCGGCCTTCTTCTGTGCGTATCGTGCCACTGCGATCCTCTCCGCCTCGGCCTTTGCTTCTTCTGGTTTCTCATCCTGGCACATGAGAAGGTAGGCATGATGAAATTCGCAGCAAGATCATTTAGCTTGTGGCAAGACGAATAAGCTTGTAACAGATGTGGTAACACCAACGGAGCAAATGATACCTCATCCCTATCGCTCCTACCTCTGCCTTTGCCACAAATGATAGCACGAAAATGATGATTGCAGCAAGGTGAAGAGGGTTGCAAGGAGATTACAAAGACATCACTGTGTGATCAGCAAGGCCGCAATGGGATGACAAATGAGGCATGACCTCATGTCCTCCACTGGCCATGCAGCCCTAAACAGCGCAGTCACACACTCAGCCCAGCATGACCCTCACTATCCAACCACATATCCAATTCAAATCAGACCAGAACAGAGCCCAACCCAATCCAGCCCATCAGCACCACACCACTTTCTTCTGGAAGAAGCTCATAAGATACGACTCAGCCTCCTTCCTCCCCGCCACCCATGCAGCCCAAACCAGCCCAGTCACACGTCCTGTCCAACATACCCCTTTCTATCCAACCTTACATCCAATCCAACCCATCCCAATCCCATCCCAACCCAGCCCAACCCATCACCAACGCAACGCACCACTTTCCCATCGAAGAAGCTCATGAGGTAAGACTCAGCCTCCTTCTTCTCTTCCTTCACCTGCTCCTCCTCCTCCCCATCATCCCATGAAAACAGGCTCCAGAACCCGCTGCTCTCCTGCCCCTCCTCCTGCTGCCTCCGCTTCTCCTCCTCGAGCCTCGTCTGAGCCTCCTCCTCCGCCTCCCAAGCCTCCTCCTCGGGGTCCTCCGGGGGAAAGTAGGGAGCGACGTAACCCTTGGCGATGTAGAGAGAGATTTGCATCTTCATGGCGTCCGTGTACGACTGGAGGGTGAATGGAGGGAGGAAAAGGGGGGGGAGAGGGATTGGAGAATGGGAAGGGGAAGGGGAAGGAGGATGGGAATGGGAATGCGAGTGGCATTGGGAACACAGGAGGGAGTAGGGAGCGACATAGCCGTTGGAGATGTGACTGGTGTCTATGTATGACGTCTATGTATGACTGGTGGGAGGAGGGGGGGAATAAAGGTGTGTGGCGGGCGGAGAGGGAGTTGAGGGAAGAGAACGAGAACTGGGATGAGTGAACTTTGCCCCCGTTTGCCCCCCTGTGCCCCACTATGCCTCCCTCTGCCCCCCTCTGCCCCCCTCTGCCCCCCTTTGCCCCCCTTTGCCCCCATTTGCCCCCATTTGCCTTTTTTGGCCCCCTGTGCCACCCTGTGCTCCCCTGCACGCGTGCACACGGCAATCAGCATCTCCACGGCGCCGTGGATGGGCGAAGTTTGAGGCGCCTCAAAAGCCCGATTGAACAACACTGACTGTGGATGGGCCAAGTCCGAGTGAACAGCACTTGGGATGGGATGGGCTGGGTGCCCCCACGGGATTGCGAGGAGGATGTGGGGAGTGAAAGAAGGCAAAAGCGCATCAATTCAGGCGCTCACGATCCACGAGGGGCCAGGGATGAGCCTGTCAAACTTCGCCTTGAGTGTGTGTTGTCCCGTCGGGATGATGTTGCAGGGAGTAGGAGGCCGAAGGTAAAAAAAGGTTCAAGAAGCTCAAAGAAGGTCAGGGAAGGCCAGGGAAGGCCAAGGAAGATCAAGGAAGGTCGAAGAAGGTTCAGGAAGGTGAAGGAAGGTGAGAGGGTGTAAGGGGGGCTTACGTATGAACCCGTCGGAAATGTACACTTCAAGTCAAGCTTCTGCTCCACCTTTGAGACGTTTCAAAACTGGAAAGTCAGGAAGGTGAAGGAAGGTGAGAGGGTGTGCGGGTGCGGGTGAGATGGTGTGAGGGTGCGGGTGTGAGGGTGTGAGGGTGCGGGTGTGGGGGTGAGAGGGTAGTGTGAGGGAGGGGGCTTACGAGTCCATCTGGGATGTACGCGTCCAGCTTCTGCTCCACCTTGTACGCCACCAGCAGCTCCGCCCGTCGCTGCACGCCACGTGTCAGGTAGCTGGAGAAGTCAGAAAGGGCCTCCTGCCAATGAGAGAAAGGAGAGCAGCATGCATGACGCAGGTGTGTGGGGTGTGGGGGTGAGGACGGGGAAGGTGGGGAAAAAGGGGGTGCTGGGGAAAAGGGGGGTGCAGGGGAAGGGGGGGAGAGAGGGGGGTGGAGGGGGTAGGCGGGAAATAAACATGGGGCAGGAGGCGGGAGGAGGGGTAAAGTGAGTTGCAAGCAGTGGCGGGTAATAAGCATGAACACACACAACTTTGCACGTTTAATTCGAACGTTGCTGCTCCATGGCCTCAGCGCATGATCAGCCTCACCGTTCGAATCGAATGTGCAAAGTTGTGTGCGTTCACTGCATGCACTTTTCGCACCCCCCATTGCACGCAGTCACGCCCGCCGGTTCGCCATTCACTTTCGCAACCCTCGAGGAACGGTCCTTAAAGAAACATCCGCAGAGCCTGGCACGACCGTAGCATGTCTCTCTGCGGCCAGATGGGCGAAAAGTAGTGTAACGCTGTTGCCATGCATTTCGCAACGACGATCAGGCATGCTACGACGATCAGGCATGCTACGACCACGCGTTGCCTTGAGGGGTACCACTGGAGACACCCAGCAGACCTTCTGCGGCCCCTCTAGTAGGGCGCGCTACAGACGACTAACTAGAGGCCGAGGTCGAGACGACAAAGAGACCACGCTTACAGTCAGATCAATCAGGACTGGACTAGAATTAGGAAACTCAGCATTGATGTTTCGCGATACTAGACAGCGGAACCACGACGCAGAGCCTCTTGGCTCTGAGAGCAGAAGGTCGAAACGTCTCAGCGCCACAATGCGGCATCACGCCCCTGGCGAGAACCGCGCGAGCAAAAACGAGCACGGGTAACACAGGGCGAGAAGCTCTCGCCAGGCTTTGCGACGTTGAAGAAAAGGAAATCGAGAAGCTCTCGCCAACGGCTCTTGTCGCCAGATGCGCCGCGGGATTCTCGCTGCATCCTATACTAACAACGCGGTTCTAACTCACAAAAGGAACAAAGCGGAGACAAGTCCTAATTTAATCACATTGCCGCAATATCTAGAACAGAATGCCTGAGACTCAAGGAACGGTACCATTTCGAAGGTTCAGCGATGGCGCTGCGAAGGGCGTGGAGACAAGAGAAAGCCGGTGGGAGACGGGTGTGTGCCAGTATCAGTGTTTGAAGTCTGCTGCTATCAGACAGAGGAAGAAGCCAGCCAGAGACGGCTTGTGGTCAAGCTTTTTGCGCCCAGGCGGATTGCGCAGTAACATTGTGCTATTCAGCAGTCGCGAGAGGCACACATTTGTATCAGGAAATTATGTCAATGGTAACTTATATAGGCCACTATAACGCGTACGGTAACCATTTCATGGTGTTTTCACACATTTGGTAACTCTCTTAACGAGTTAAGTAACTAAACACTAGCAGCTGACATGACCCTAATTTAAGGTTTTCCCGCTCGCGCGAAATTAGAGTGACGGTTACAGACGCATCGTGTTTTACCCTACACACAAAATTTCCGAAACAAAGGTACCGTATCACCCCGGATAGAAGCGCAGGTGCGCTTATAATAAAACAATGTTTTCTGTTAGAATACTGACCGAATGAATGACTGAACTAGCAAGCAGGTGGGTACAAGTAGGAAACCTACAAGTGTTGTATCCTATATGAACTACCCCACTACAGCCTAGATAGACTATAGCATATAAGTTTGACACACCCCCATAGGCAAAGTGGGGGAGAACAAGAGGTCACAAGACCAGTCAAGAAAGGCAAAGCAAGCTCAGAATGGATCACAAAGTCACCACGCAGTCGAAGCACAAGCAAATGGCCACAAGGCCAGTTCACATGCAGAGTTATATAAAGGAGAACAAACAATACAGTGAACACGACCTAGCAAGAGTAAGCATGCAGGCATATGTATACAGAGTACAGTACAAGCAGAAGAGAAGAAAGCAAGTGAGGCACAGTAGGTACAAGACCTAGAACAGTACAGAAACGCTGATGATCACAAGGCTGAAGTGCCTTGGTGAAAACATCAGCAGTGTTGGCCTGTGAGGCCACGTAAGCAAGACGAAGCTGACCACGCTGCTGCAACTCTCGAGCAAGGAAGTAGCACAGGGCAATGTGCTTCGTTCTGTGCTCCAGTCTATGCTCCTGACACAAGGCAAGCATGGCCTTGTTGTCGACATACAGAACTAGAAGAGAACGAGGCGCCTCTCCCAAGTCGGTCAGTAGGTAGGTGAGCCGGCGTAACTCCTGTGCAGCCATGGCCCCAGCGTAGATCTCAGCCTCACAACTAGAGCTGAGAACAGAAGACGATCAGGTAGACCGCCAACAGACAGAACCGGAGCCAAGACTGAAGGTGTAACCCTGTGACGACCGCTGCGTAGCCAAGTCGTCAACACAGGAAGCGTCAGCGTGACCAGTGAGGACAACTCGAGCCCGTCCTCCAAGCACGAGCCCCATGCCCGATGTACTGCACAAGTAGTGCAACACCCTCTTCGCAGCATCCCAGTGCACCTTTCGGGTATGCGAGGTCAGGTCGTGTGCAAGTCATCAGGTACATGAGGCAGCCCACAAGCTCTGGATACGGGCCACTCGGCTCTACGGACTCGTCCGAAGGTGGAGATGAGAGCGAGTGACCGGTAGGCAGAGGAGTGGACTGTGGCGAGGAGTACGTGAAGCCGAAGCGCTGAAGGACCTGCTGCACCATGTGTGACCGAGTCAAGGTAATGGTGCACTGTGCTCTGTCCCGGGTGATCCGCAAGCCAAGATAGCTTGTCAGCTCACCCAGGTCTGTGCACGTGTGTCTCTTCTGCAGCTCCGACTTCACGTGGGCGAGTGCCTCAGTGTCAGCACTAGCAAAGACCAAGTCTTCTACGTACACGAGAACGTAGAACGGCGGCAGAGTGGTGTCAGTGCGAAGAAACAGCGACGGGTCAGCAGTGGAAGGAGCAAACCCAAGAGCAGCAAGAGTCGTCCTCAGTGTGTCGTGCCACTCACGGGGTGCCTGGCAGAGACCGTAGACTGGCCGCCGGAGGCTCCACTGGGTACCAGCAGGAAACGACCCAGTGAAGCCTGGTGGGCGGCGCAGCCAGATCTCCTCGTGCAGGCTGCCCTGTAGGAAGGCTGTGCTGAAGTCAAGCGAGTGGAGCTCGTAGTCACGCTGAGCGGCGACGTGCAGCAGTACCCGAAGAGTGGTCATCTTCGGGGTAGGGGAGAAGGTCTGGAAGAAGTCAACTCCCTGTCGCTGACTGAAACCACGTGCAACGTAACGCGCCTTGAAGACAGGCGGAGAACCCGGCGGCCGCTTCACCCTGAAGATCCACATGCCACTGACGATGTTCGCCCCAGGCGAGGGAACCTCGTCGACGTAGGTGCCTGTGGACTTCCAGGAAGCCATCTCAGCGTCCATGGCTGCCTGCCACTGAGAGGAGTAGGGACCCTCTATCGCCTCTGCGTAAAAGCGCGAGGTCGGGATGTCTGGTGCATCCGGGTCTCCCTCAGGGGCAAGCAGCATGGACACGAGATGAGGTACAGCAGCGGCAAAGCACTCAAACTCCTCCTGTCTGTCCTCAAGAACGTCCATGCCAAGAGCACACTCACCCCCGACGGACGGAGGACAGACAGACGCAGACGCAGACTCAGCAACAAGACTAGTGGCGTAGTGGGGTCCGTTGGCCGGCTGGGTTCACCGAGCCCAGCGGGGTCGCCACCCGCCTCGTCGCGCTCGTCCCGCTCGCGTCCCCCCGGTTGGCATCCGGGGATCTGCGCTGGGGTCGAGACGGAGAGGAGACGGGCTTGTGGTGGCCCTGCGATTTCAGCCGACTGCCCCCCGTTGTGCACGGGTTGCGACGGCCATCTCGTTTTCCCAGGTACGGGCGATTGTCTCGGGCAAAGCCCGAGCGCCCCTCGTATGCCACGCATTTTGGCAGTTCCGTCCCGCTCACCCGGCCGCACGTAGCCGCGTGCGGAGGGTGTGGGTGCGGATGCGTGGCTCCACCTGGATGTGTGTGGCGTTCAAGCAGACGTGCCCTCGGCCGAGGCCTCGTGCGCAACATGCGTTCAAAGTTTGTCGAGGCGACAGGCTGCAGCAAAGTCAACAAGCTCAGCAACGAGAGCAGACGCGGCAGAGGACTCAAACAGAGGGTCAGTGACAGCAGTGGCTAGAAAGCGCGTGACAATAGGACTAGCAGCACAAAGGGAGTCAGACTCCGGGTCCGGACTGTCAGGAAGAGAGGACGCAGGAGGAGACGGCAGAGGGATACGCTTTGGAGCAGTGGAAGGACGCAGTGTCATAGAGTGAGTGCCAGGGACAGGAGGAGGACGCGGACGCGAAACACGACGACCAGTGCGAACTGTGCGGACAGGTGACGCAGAACGAGACTCAGGAGACGCAGGACGAGACTCAGGCTCACGACGCTCCGTAAGACCTCTAGTCGGTCCAGAGTAAGGAGAAGGACCAGGCAGTGGAGAGGCTGGCTGTAACAGCTCCAGCTCCAGAAGTACCTCCAGTAGCAACAGCTCCAGCACCTGCAGCTCCAACTCTTGCAGCACCACCAGCCCCAGCAGCTCCAGCACCTCCGGTACGAGCACCTCCAGGACCAGCTGCTCCAGCACCTCCAGCAGCTCCAACACCACCAGTACCTCCAGCAGCACCTCCAGCAGCTCCAGCACCAGCAGCAGCTCCAGCACCAGCAGTACCAGCAGCACCAGCAGAACCAACACCACCGCGACAGCGCTGAGCGTACCACTCACGAAGCTGCTGCGGAGAGAGGGGCTCCCGCCTCGACGGGACACCCGGAGGACCTCCAGACTCAGCACGCTCAGGCTCAGCACCCCCAGAAGCAGTACCCCCAGGCTCAGCACCCCCAGGCTCCACACACTCAGGCTCAGCACCACAAGGCTCAGCACTCCCAGACTCAGCACCCCCAAGCTCAGCACCCCCAAGCTCCACACGCTCAGGCTCAGCAACCCCAGGCTCCGCACCCCCAGTCCCCGCACCCGCAGGCTCAGCACCCCTAGCAGCACCTGAGGCGACAGCTACCTCGACCGGCTCAGCAGGGTCTACCTGGGACACACCTGAGGGGGCAGGACCCTGAGGGGGGAGGGGGTCTACCGGAGGAGTACCTGGTGCTAGGAAGAGTGGCGGGGGGGGGGGGAGAGAGGTAGTGTGGTAGGGAAAGAGACGGTAGTAAGACACCGACTCGTCAAACGTGACGTCCTGAGAGGACAGAACACGACGCGAGGTGGGGTGGTAGAACTGCCACCTAGGGGTGTCAGGGGGGAAGCCAAGGAAGACGCAGGGAACAGCACGGGAGGACAGCTTGTCCGCGAAAGTATCACGGACAAAAGCTCGTGATCCCCAGACACGGAACACAGACGCATCGCCAACCTTCCCCGTCCACCGCAGAGTAGGTGTGGTCTCCGGCAAGGAGACACGAGGCTGAAGGCAGCGTACTGAACCGCGAACGGCCATAGAAATTGGGGAGCAGCCGCATGGATCATGGACGTACGAGCGACGTCCATGACCATGCCAATGCGGCGCTTAGAAATCCCATTTTTCTGCAGGGAGGCCGGAAGCGTGAACGTCTAGCGGATGCCCTCCGCACGACAGAAGGCCCTAAGTAGGTCGGAGGAAAACTCACCACCTCTGTCTGAGTGCAGATGCAGAACAGGAAGGTCCGAGCCAAACCGCTCGCTGAGCTGGCGACGAGCACCCCGGATCCAGTCGATCAACACCTCAGTGACCTCACCCTTGCTGCGCAAGGGGAAGACTGTGGTGTAACGCGAGTAGTCGTCAACGACCAGCAGGAAGTAACGCTCGTGACCCTGTCCACGGACGCGGGCTGGGCCCCACACGTCCATGTGAAGAGTCTGCAGGGGAGCCTCTGTCGGAGGGAAGGTGGAGGAGTGAGGAGCGGCGCGCTGCCGGCCCTCGACACAAGGAACACAGGTAGGGGCAGGCCCCGGAGGAAGGGGAGGGAGGGACCGGGGGAGACTCGAGACAAGGGTTATGGGAGGCCATACCTCGAAGACGAGGCAGGGAGGGGTGACCAAGGCGGTGGTGCCAAAGGAGAGTCTCGTGTGACAGAGGGCGACACGAGCAGGGGGCAGACGCTGGACTAGACCTGGACGCGGCAGCAAACACCTGACTAGACGCGGCTACCTGACCAGACGCAGTGACCAGAGGAGACGCAGTAGTCAGTGTGTACAGACTCGACCCAGGCCGACGAGTGAACGTGGCCAGGTGGCGGCCCGTCCGAGAGCAAGTGCAGTGGGTCACACGCTGACCTCCAGGGGTGAACTGGTCAACCCACGCGTCCTGGAGGTCAGCTCCACTCACCAAGTTCGTAGAGAAGGAGGGGAGGTGGAGTCCCGACAGCAAGCCCGACGGGGCCGCAGGACACGGTAGAACCGTGGAAGAGTGCGCAAGGACTGGGCCCCCAAAGGGGTCAGCTAGGGAGACTGCGACAGGCCGACTGAGCGGCGTGAGTGTGGTGCTGTCGCGAAAGAAGGAGCGCGAAGCACCAGAGTCAAGTGTGAAAGTGTGCAAGGCCTCAGTAGGTGCAGTACCTGAGAGAGCAGGCTCACCAGCACCTGGAGCAGCAGACTCACCAGTACCTGGAGCAGTAGACGCACTAGCACCTAGAGCAGCAGCCTCAATGCCCGGGTTGGGCGGAACACTCAGGTAACAGTCACCCTCAGCACTATCAGTCACAGCATACATGGCAGCAAGGATAGCATCGAAATCAAGATCAAAGATAGCCACATTCTGCTTAAGCAGATCACCCCAGCGAGGGAGCTCAACAGCGTCAGGAAACTGGGTGCGCCAGGCGTCAGTCAGGCGACCGAAGCAGCGCTGCGCAGTGTGTGGCAGCCCGTACGTCTCCCCACGACGCCCGCCGGTGCGAAGAACGTAAGTGCAGGGACCAACACCCCCAGGCTTCCCACGCCCAGCGTACCACTCACGAAGCTGCTGGGCCGACGGGGTCTCACGGGAACGCGGCTGCTGCTGGCGCTGGCTACCACCAAAGCCTCCACGCTGCGCGGCTGCACCTCGACAAGCACCACCGCCGCCGCCACCTCCACCACCACTGCCGCTGCCTCCACCGCCGCTGCCGCTGCCTCCACCACCCCCACTGCCGCCACCGAAGCCCCCACTCCCGCCACCACCCCCACCTCCACCGCCACCGCCCCCGCCTCCTCCACCGCCTCCACCGCCGCCCCCACAGTCCCCTCCACCACCCTTGCCCCCCTTGCCCTTGCTGGTGCGGCGCCTCCCGCTAGGAGTAGACGCAGCCCCGACCTCCTCAGTGCCAACGAGGTCGACAGCAGCAGCAGAAGCCACAGAGGGGAGAAGGGGGACAGGGGAACACCCCTCAAAGAAGGGGGTGCGACGGTCGCCGCGAGAAGCACCTACAGCTAAGATACTCTTCTCAGCTGCAGCAAGGCGCTCCTCTAACAGGTCGACAGTGAGCTCGGTGGGGCAAAGGGAGAGAAAGTGGTCCCTGACTGACGCAAGGGAGTCAGGGAGGCGGGTGACTAGGTAGTAAAGGGTGATGTACATGGGGGGGGGGTTCTTGGCACAGAACTCAGTGGGAAGCGCAGCGCGGTAGCGGGTGTCACTAGTGCGGAGGTGGGTAATGAGGTCAGCGACTATGGCAAAGGCGGCAAGGTCAGGGAAAAGGTACGGCAGCATGAGGCGGCTGAGAGCAGCAGTGGCAGGGGAGGAGTAGCGCGCTACGACAACGTCGTACAAAGACTTAGCAGTCTTGTACTGGCCAAAATGTGCGCGCTCAGCAGACGGCAGGTGACTACGAACAGCAAGGCGAGCAACAGCGTCACGAGTGGTCCACTGCGAGCGAACTGTACTGTCAGCAGTGGCAGCAGGTGCAGTAGAGACACCGGACGTGTGATCGAAAAGGGATACCCCATCCCTAGAGTCACACTGAAGAAAGAGCTGCAGGTCGTCAACCCACACGTCAAAGTCAACTGCACGCCCCTCAGCATGAAAGGTGAGAACAGTAGGGCTAGCCATAGCAGCAGTAGCAGCAGTAGCAGCAGTAGCAGCAGTGGCAGTAGTGGCAGCAGAAGCAGTGCAAGCAGAAGGGCAGCGCGGCTCGGCAGTGCGGCATGGCTCGGCTGGGCGGGGCGGCTCAGCTGGGTGGCGCGGCTCGGCAGGGCGGCGCGGCTCGGTTCCAGGCGGCGCGGCGCGGCAGCAGGCGGCGCGGCGCGGCAGGGCAGTGCGGGTGCTTACGAGGGGCGGGTGCAGGGCAGGGCCGCAGCTGGCGGTATAGGTCAGGGCCGCAACAGGGTGGCTGCAGGGCAGAGGCCGCGACGGGCGGCGAAGGCAGGGCCGCGACTGGGGTGGCAGCAAGGCAGGGCCGCGCCAGGGGGCGGCTGCAGGGCAGGTGCCGCGACGGGCGGCGAAGGCAGGGCCGCGACAGTGGGTGGCTACAGGGCAGGGCCGCGACAGGGGGCGGCTGCAGGGCAGGGACCGCGGCGGGCGGCGAAGGCAGGGCCGCGACTGGGGCGGCAGCAGGGCAGGGGCCGCGACAGGGCGGCTGCAGGGCAGAGGCCGCGACGGGCGGCGAACGGGCCGACGACGGGCGGCAAAGGGGCCGGGACGGGCCGGTGACGGGCCGGAACGGGCCGGGACGGGCCGAGACGGGCCGGGATGGGCCGGGTCGGGCCTAGACGGGCCGGGACGGGCCGGGACGGGCCAGCGACGGGCGGCGAAGGGCAGCACGGGGCCGCAGTGGGCGGCTAAGGCAGGGCCACGACGCGTGGCAACGGGCCAACGATGGGCAGCTACGGGCCGGGATGGGCCGGCTGAGGCAGGGCCGCGACGGGCCAGCTAAGGAAGGGCGCGCGACGGCGCAGGTAAGGCAGGCGCGAGGCGCGCCTCGGGCAGGGCAGGAAAAAAAAAGTTCGTGGTGGGCCCAAAAAAAACGTTCCCACGAGGGAACCTGCTCAGAATACCATGTTAGAATAGTGACCGAATGAATGACTGAACTAGCAAGCAGGTGGGTACAAGTAAGAAACCTAAAAGTGTTGTACCCTATATGAACTACCCCACTACAGCCTATATAGACTATAGCATATAAGTTTGACATTTTCCAGGGGGGTGCGCTTCTAATTGAGTCATTTTTATAAGCGCATGCGCTTATATAATGACATATACGAATTTATAAATTGAAGACACCAAATTGTTGTCAGAATATATTTGCTGTTTAGCCTGCAGTGGGGTACTCTGTAGTGAGTACAACCCAATTTAGGGTTTGCTATTTGTATCCCAACTTTCTATAGTGAAACGCCATCATTCTCCTTTCCAATTCCTCTCGACACTCAACTCCCTCGACACTCAATGCTTAGCTCCTCTCCCTCGCCATGGTTCCCAACTCACGCTAGGATTCTAACATGGTATTAAGAGCATAACTTTCCTAGGACCTAATCTTAATGGGCCCATCACCTACTGCCCTGCTAGCCTAGGCCCCGGCCCGTCGCCCCTTGGCGTCGCCCCTAGCCCCTAGGCTCGGCCCCTTGGCCCCGTCGCCCCTAGCTCGGCCCCTCGGCCCCGCTGGCTTCGTCGATTCCGTCGCCCGCGCCCGGCCCGTACCTAGCCCGCGATCGGCCCGTACTTAGCCCGCGATCGGCCCGTACCTAGCCCGCGCCCGGCCCGTACCTAGCCTCGCGCCCGGCATCCGTTCCGCGCCCAACGCCCGGCCTCGTACCTAGCCCGCACCCGGCCCGTACCTCGCCCGCGCCTGGCCCCGTCCCTAGCCCGCGCCTGGCCCCGTCCTTCGCCCAGCGTCCGGCCCGTACCTAGCCCGCGCCCGGCCCGTACTTAGCCCGCGACCGGCCCGTACCTAGCCCGTCGCCCGGCCTCGTCCCTAGCCCAGCGCCCGGCCCAGTACCTAGCCCGCGCCCGGCCCCGTACCTAGTTCGCGCCCGGCCCCGTACCTGCCCAGCGCCCGGCCACGTACCTGCCCAGCGCCCGGCCCCGTCCCTTGCCTAGCGCCCGGCACCGTACCTAGCCTCGCGCCCGGCCTCCGTTCCGCGCCCAACGACCGGCCCAGTACCTAGCCCGCGCCCGGCCCCGTACCTAGCCCCGCACCCGGCCCCATTCCGTGCCCAACACCCGGCCCCGTACCTGCCCAGCGCCCGGCCCCGTACCTGCCCAGAACCCGGCCCCGTCCCTAGCCCAGCGCCAGGCCCCGTACCTTGCCGCGCCCCTCGGCCCCACTGGCCTCGTCGCCCCTAGCTATGGCAAGAGGGGTGATGACTTCCTGCCCGCGTGCCCTGCAGTCGCACGCGCAGCTCCGCCCCCGCCCCCCTCCCCCCCCTCCCCCTCCTCCATGGGGACGGGGGGGAGAGGGTGTGAGGGGGTGGCGGATGTGCCTCAGCAGCAGCAGCTGCCGCCGCGCCTCCTCCTCTATCTCTCCCTGCCAAACCTTGTGTTGGGAGAGGGGGGGGAGCTTGGAGGTTCAGAGGGAGGCAGGAGGGGATCTGCAGCACCAGCCCCCCCCGCCCCCCCCTTTATCCTCCACCCCTGCTGCGGGTGCAGCAGTGGGGGGAGGGGATTTGCAGCATCACCCCCCCCCCCCCCCCCCCGCCCTTTTCTCCTCTCTCTCTCCCTGCCGCACCCTGTGTTGGGAGGGGGGGGGGAGCTTGGAGGTTCAGGGGGAGGCAGGAGGGGATCTGCAGCACCAGGCCCCCCCGCCCCCCCCCCCTTTCTCCTCCAACCCTCCTGCGGGTGCAGCAGTGGGGGGGAGGGGATCTGCAGCAGCGGTGGGGGAGGGGATTTGCAGCATCAGCTCCCCCCCCCCCCCCCCCCCCCCCCCCCGCCCTTTTCTCCTCTCTCTCTCCCTGCCGCACCCTGTGTTGGGAGGGGGGGGGAGCTTGGAGGTTCAGAGGGAGGCAGGAGGGGATCTGCAGCACCAGCCCCCCCCGCCCCCCCCCCTTTTCTCCTCCACCCCTGCTGCGGGTGCAGCAGTGGGGGGAGGGGATCTGCAGCAGCAGTGGGGGGAGGGAATTTGCAGCATCAGCCCCCCCCCCCCCGCCCTTTTCTCCTCTCTCTCTCCCTGCCGCACCCTGTGTTGGGAGGGGGGGGGAGCTTGGAGGTTCAGGGGGAGGCAGGAGGGGATCTGCAGCACCAGCCCCCCCCAGCCCCCGCCCCCCCCCCCCCCCCCCCCCCCACTTCTCCTCCATCCCCCTGCTGCGGGTGCAGCGGTGGGGGGGAGGGGATCTGCAGCCCTGTGCTGCCCTGCAGCCCTGCGCGCCCTGCGCGCCCTGCTGTCCTGCTGCCCTGCGCGCCCTGCGCGCACTGCAGCCCTGCGCGCCCCGCGCGCCCTGCTGCCCTGCAGCCCTGTGCGCCCTGCTGCCCTGCAGCCCTGTGCGCCCTGCTGCCCTGTTTGCCCCTCTTGCCCTGCTGTCCTGCTGCCCTGCGCGCCATGCGCGCCCTGCAGCCCTGCGCGCCCTGCAGCCCTGCGCGCCCCGCGCGCCCTGCTGCCCTGCAGCCCTGTGCGCCCTGCTGCCCTGCAGCCCTGTGCGCCCTGCTGCCCTGCTGCTGCCGCTACAGCCCTTGCTGTTGCCGCTACAGCCTTTGCTGCTGCCCTGCGCGCCCCGCGCGCCCTGCAGCCCTGCTGCGCCCCGCGCGCCCTGCTGCCCTGCTGCCCTGTGCGCCCCGCGCGCCCTGCAGCCCTGCGTGCCCTGCTGTCCTGCTGCCCTGCGCGCCCTGCGCGCACTGCAGCCCTGCTGCCCTGTAGCCCTGTGCGCCCTGCTGCCCTGTTTGCCCCGCGCGCCCTGCTGCCCTGCAGCCCTGTGCGCCCTGCTGCCCTGCTGCCCTGTGCGCCCCGCGCGCCCTGCAGCCCTGTGCGCCCCGCGCGCCCTGCAGCCCTGCGCGCCCCGCGCGCCCTGCTGCCCTGCAGCCCTGTGCGCCCTGCTGCCCTGCAGCCCTGTGCGCCCTGCTGCCTTGCTGCTGCCGCTACAGCCCTTGCTGTTGCCGCTACAGCCCTTGCTGCTGCCCTGCGCGCCCCGCGCGCCCTGCAGCCCTGCTGCGCCCCATGCGCCCTGCAGCCCTGCGCGCCCTGCTGTCCTGCTGCCCTGCGCGCCCTGCGCGCACTGCAGCCCTGCGCGCCCCGCGCGCCCTGCTGCCCTGCAGCCCTGTGCGCCCTGCTGCCCTGCAGCCCTGTGCGCCCTGCTGCCCTGTTTGCCCCGCGCGCCCTGCTGCCCTGCAGCCCTGTGCGCCCTGCTGCCCTGCTGCCCTGTGCGCCCCGCACGTCCTGCAGCCCTGTGCGCCTCGCGCGCCCTGCTGCCCTCTGCACGCGCCATGCACAGCCCCCCCCCCCTTCTCCTCCATCCCCTGCTGCAGGTGCAGCAGTGGGGGGAGGGTATGGGGGTGGCGGGTGTGGGTGCAACTGCGGGGTGGCGTGTATGGGGGTGGCGGGTGTGTGAACCGTCCCCTCCTCCTCCTCCACCTTCGTCTCCCACTGCTGCAGCTGCCACTGAGGGGGGTGGGTGGTTGGGAGCCGAGGGATTGGTGCTAGGGGGGTGGGTGTGTGGGAGCCGAGGGATTGGTGCTAGGGGGGTGACGTGGGAGTGGAGCTAGGGGTGCAGCAAGGGGTGTGTGTAAGGGGGGTGGGACAGTTGGGGGAGGTTGAGCGGAGGCTGCCGTCTTGTCGTCCGCAGCACGTGTAGTCCGGGGCTCTGCTTCTGGTAGCTCAGAGAGCCTGCTGCGCCTGTCACCTGTGGGTCCGTTGCTCCTGCCGCTCAGAGTTAGCCGCAGAGCCAGTTACTCCTGTAGTCTGGGGATACGGCCCTGGTAGCCACAGTGCGCGCCGCTCCTGTTGCCCGAGTGTCTGCAGCATCAGCAGTCGCCTCCTATCTACTCTCCTCTTACAGTCCAGCCTCCTCCTCACTTGCCCTTTGTGAATGCCTCTAGCTTTGCTTGTACTTGTGAACCTGCTCTATGACTGCTTGCTCTGCTGATTATACCCCACTTTGACTATGGGGGTGTGTCAGAATATATTTGCTGTTTAGCCTGCAGTGGGGTACTCTGTAGTGAGTACAACCCAATTTAGGGTTTGCTATTTGTATCCCAACTTTCTATAGTGAAACGCCATCATTCTCATTTCCAATTCCTCTCAACACTCAACTCCCTCGACACTCAATGCTTAGCTCCTCTCCCTCGCCATGGTTCCCAACTCACGCTAGGATTCTAACAATTGTATGTTTCGCTCTTGCCATTTCAACCGAGTCAATTTTTTTTGCGTCACAAAGCAGAATCGCCTGCAAGCGATTCTCTTCCAGCACACATGCGCCAAGATGCGACACTTTGCAGTTATGCTAGCACATCATGACTGGATGCGCAGCCAGTCAGGTCTTCGAGAGTCAAACTCAGCGAAAATGAGATTGCACTCGCTTCGAAATTGAAACTCGCTATAGTCTCGAATAGAAAATTTAATTTCAAATTGTACATGCGCTTGTAATAAGTAACGTTTTCACAGGGGGTGCGCTTATAATTGAGGATCGGCCATAAGCGCAGTGCTCCAGATAGAAGCGCATGCGCTTATCATAGGCCTGCGCTTCTATCCGGGGTGATACGGTATCAAGCGTGCAAGTAGCTTTTAGTTGTACCAAATACTGCAGCCAACAAGTTTTAACGGCGTACTTCCATAACATTTTGTTTGTTACTTCTATCGTTTATACAGGGCAAAAAAATATAAAACCCTTTCGGATGGCATGCGATACTGAAAGCATCAACTCTAAACGCCTTGCGACAAGGCAGTCAAAACTAAGGGGCAAGAATGAGTGCATGAGCATGAAGGGGTACAAGTATTCATAACCCTAATGGGTTGTACTCAGTACAGTATACCTCACTACAGCCTAAATAATGTATAGCATATTTTGACACACCCCCATAGGTAAAGTGGGGGATAGCAAGAACAACCAACGGTCACAAGACCAGTTAAGGAAGAGAACAAAGCAAAGCAAAGCTCAGGGTGGATCTCAAGATCATGCAGGGTAATAAAAACACAAGCAGGGTTATAAAAGCACAAGCAGTACAGTGATCACAACCTAGCAAGAATAAGCATGCACGTATAGATATATAGATCACAGTACAAGGCAAACTCAAGCAGTAAGCAAGTGAGGCAGAGTAACTACAAGGCCTAGAGCAGTGCAAAAACGCTGATGATCACGAGACCCAAGGGCCTTGGTGAAGATATCAGCAGTGTTGGCCTGAGAGGCCACGTACGCAAGGTGAAGCTGACCACACTGCTGCAACTCTGGAGCGAGAAAGTAGCGAAGAGCAATGTGCTTCGTTCTGTGTTCCAGTCTCTGCTCCCGACACAAGGCAATCATGGCCTTATTGTCGACATACAGAACTGGAGGAGAACGAGACCGCTCACCCAAATCGCTCAGCAGGTAGGTCAGCCAGCGGAACTCCTGTGCAGCCATAGCCCCAGCGTTGATCCCGGCCTCACAGCCGGAACCAAGCACAGAAGAAGAATGAGTGGACCTCTACGAGACAAAACCAGAGCCGAGACTGAAAAAGTAACCCTATGACGACCGTTGTGTTGCCTGGTCGTCGGCTTAAGAAGCGTCGGATTATCCTGTGAGTACCGCTGAGCCCCGTCCTCCAAGCACAAGCCCCATGCCCGATGTACCGCACAAGTAACGCAACACCCTCGTAGCAACCCGCCAGTGCTCTGGTCAATGTCTCCTGGGCGCAACGTAGCGCGCTAGGATGCTGAGAGGGTACGCGAGGTCAGGTCGAATGCAAGTCATAAGGTATATGAGGCAGCACACAAGCTCTGGAGACTGACCACTCGGCTCTATGAACTCGTCCGAAGGTGGAGATGAGAGCGAGTGGCCTATAGGCAGAGGAGTGGACTATGGCGAGGAGAACTGGAAGCCAAAGTGCTGAAGGACCTGGTACACCATGTGTGACTGCGTCATACTGATGGTGCGCCGTGCTCTGTCCCGAGTGATATGCAGGCCAAGATAGCTGCGCAACTCAACCAGGTCAGTGTAAGCATGTCTCTTCTGCAGTTCCACCTTCACAAGGGTCAGCGCCTCAGTGTCCGCAGTAGCAAAGACCAGGTCATCGACGTACACGAGGATGTAGAACGGCTGCAGAGAAGGGTCGGTGCGCAGAAACAGTGACGGGTCAGCAGTTGAAGGAGCAAACCCAAGAGCCTCAAGTGCCGTCCTCAGTGTGGCGTGCCACTCGCGAGGCGCCTGGGGGAGACCGTAGACTGGCCGCCGGAGGCTCCACTGGGTACCTTCAGGAAACGACCCAATGAAGCTAGGTGGGCGGCGCAACCAGATCTCCTCGTGAAGGATGCCTTGCAAGAAAGCTGTGGAGAAGTCGAGGGAGTGCAGCTCGTAGTCACGCTATGCTGCAACGTGTAGTAACACCCAAAGAGTAGTCATTTTCGGGGTGGGGGAGAAGGTCTGGAAGAAGTCGACCCCCTGTCGGTGACTGAAGCCTCGAGCAACGTAACGAGCCTTGAAGACAGGCGGAGAACTGCGTCGCTTCACCCTGAAAATCCACATGCCATTGACTATGTTCGCCCCAGGATGGGGAACTGCGTCGACGTAGGTGTCTGTGGACTTCCAGGAAGCCATCTTTGTGTCCATGGCAGTCTGCCACTGAGAGGAGTAGTCACCCGTGATCGCCTCTGCGTGAGTGCGTGGGGTCGGGATGTCTAGTGCATCTGGGTCTCCCTCAAGGCAAAGCAGCATGGACGCGAGATGGGGTACAGCAGCCGCGAAGCAATTGATCTCAAACTGCATGTCCTCAAGGACGTCACTGCCAAGGGCAAGCTCACCCTTGACAAACGGAGGACAGTCAGTCCCAGACTCATTAACAAGACTCGCTATGTAGTCAAGACGACATGTAGTAGCAAAGTCTACGAGCTCAGAATCAAAGGAAGGGTCAGTGACAAGAGTGGTCAGGAAATGAGTGACACTAGGACTAGCAGCATGAGCAAGGTCGGACTTACGGTCTGGAACGTCAGGAAGAGAGGACGCCAGAGGAGAGGACAAAGCAATACGCTGTGGAACAGAGGAAGGACGAAGTGCCATAGTGTGCGTGCCGGGGACAGTTGGAGGACGAGGACGACGAGCATGACTGACAGTGAGAATAGGGGAGGAAGGACGAGACTCAGGCTCACGACGCTCTGCCAGGGATCATATATGCACAGGGTAACGAGAAGCAGCAAGCAGTGGGGAGCCAGGTAGTAATGGCAGCTGTCAGTGGTCATGAGGAGGACACATAAGAGGTGGAGTAAGGCCAGTTGAAGACGGAAGACTAAGAACCTGGCGAAGTGCCGAGTCAGGCGGTGGCAGTGACGAATGCGGCTGCGGGTAGAAGAACGGTCGTCGCGGCGCAATACCCACAGTACTAGAGCCTCCAGCTCCAGTACCTCCAGCACCAGCAGCTCCAGCACCTCCAGCTCCAGCACCTCCAGCTCAAGCACCTCCAGTACCTCCAGCTCCAGTAGCTGCAGTACCTCCAGCACCAGCAGCTCCATTACATCCAGCACCTCCAGCTCCAGCACCTCCAGGACCTCCAGCTCTAGTACCTCCAGTACCAGCAGCTCCAGCACCTCCAACACCACCAGCTCCAGCACCTCCAGTATCTCCAACTTTAGTACCTCTAGCACCTCCAGCTGCAGCACCTCCAGTACCTCCAGTAGCTCCAGTACCTCCAGTACCAGCAGCTCCAGCACCTCTAGCACCAGTACCCCAAGCTCCAGCACTAGAGCGACCTCGGCGAACAACCCACTCGCGAAGCTATTGCGATGAGAGGGTCTACTGTCGATGAGACCGCTGCTGCTGTCCAATGCCAAAACCTCCAGCAGGAGCACCCACAACCCCACCACCACTAGGACTCGCAGCACCCTCAAAGTCAGCACCCCCAGAGTCAGTACCCTTAGAACCATCACCCCTTGATCCAGCACCCGCAGGACCAGTGTGAGAGTACGCCGACGTTCGACATATTTCTCATTTCCATATTTTTACTCCATCTTATTCTCCATATTTTCCTCTTTCATTTGCAATTTATTTCACCTCAATCGGACTACTATTCTATTTTCTAGAGCTTTCTGATTATTTCACTTATTTGGTATTTTCGGCACCGACATTTACATTATACGGCACCGACAGCACCGACAGTGGTGTACAAGGCGTAATCTCGCCATAATCCGAAGTGCCAATGGGCTTGCGTGCTTATGCGCACTTGTGATTATCTATTCTAGAAGAGCGCGTTCCCGAAGGTTCGGATTATATGTTGTTTCTATGTATTTATGAGTATAAATACGCCT